ACAAGGTCCCAGGATGTCTACAGACTCTGCAGAGACTGGGGACCTCCTGTCTCCTCCATGGCTGCTGTGCTCAGCCAGCTGGTGGACAGGTGGGCACGTCTGAGTGGCCGCAAGTACTTTAGGCTTATGAGCCACCCCAAAATGGGACAAGAGTCAAGGTCCTGGGTGGACCTGCCACATGCCTGCCATCCACTGGCACCTGGCACTGGCCTGTGCTGGCAGGACCTCTTGAGGCCCTACCCCCTCGCCACCTCCTGGCCTGTGCGCCCTCAGAAGGCGGTCTGTCACTGGATGCACTGTCCCCACAAGGGAATCGCCTCCTCGTGGCCACTTCCTGGTAATGACAGAGAGGAGGAGGGTTGCCTGGACCCCCTATTCTGCCCTGAGAAGGATGTTTCTTTCCCCTGGCAGCACCTGCAGGCCGCCCCAAAGAGGCCTTAAGTCTCCTTCAGGTCCTGGATTCTCTGCACTCACACAGCCTAAGTCTGGGACTGGCCGACTGCAGCCTGGGGGCCAAACACAGTCCGCCGCCTGCTTTGTAAGGCCGGGTACAGTTACCAGCTGAGGCCAGCAGTCTGGGCCGCCCTAAAGCCAGTCAGTCCTGTAAGTGCGCCCATCCAAGAAAGCGGGCTTTCCCCAGCAGGGTGGCTGCTTCCGCTGCAGCCAGGGCCACGGGGTCCTCGCTTTGCTTCAAGGTCTCCTGTTGGGAGGGTGCTCCTCATCACTCTGCCCACTTCCCACCCATTTGCTCAAGTGAATGTCGGCGTTTTAGTGAAGTTTGGCTTGCCTTGGACAGGCCTGAGAGTCAAGAGTGGTTTGTACGGTTTTAAGCAGCTGGGGGAGATGATGACTATTTTGCGACCCCTGAAAATTACACTGAAACCGGGCTTCACGTAACCAGGTAAAGGTCCCTGGGGCGCAGCTGGCCCGGGGGTTTGTGAGCTGCCTCTGGCAACAGGCCACATCACCACCCTGGCTGGCCCTGCCTCCTTAACTTGGGTCAAAATTTCATGCCTCTAGGCTTTGAGGGATTCTTTTCCCTCTCAGTTCTCAGTGTGGTTTGTGCATTGAAATGTCCCGGTACAGCCAAGAATCCAATGGAAGTAAAGCTGAAGTCCTGCACTCCAGTCTGGAATATCGGCTGCAGTAGTATGCCGGGGCAGGGGATGGCCCTTCCTTAGCTCATCTGTGTGAAGGCGCCCAGTATTTGTGTGCCAGTTGGTGACCTGTGAATTCAAGCACTGCACAGGTTTAAGATCCCGGAGCACACGTGGGGCGTGCTGATCCCTCTGCAGAGGGAGAGGAGAGGGCTCCGTGCCAGGTGGAGCACGTTCTGGAATATTCTGTTCTACTTGGAAGCTATATTTCCCAATTTGGGCTTCAGTAAATTCAACAATAAACTCCTTTTAAGAATTTCCTGAATTCTTTCAGAGTAGATTTTTAAATACTTTAGATTTCTCTTTTGGAGACAATAAATTAAACCCATAATTTTAACCTGAAGTTGCTTTTTATCTCATTACCAGATTAAGCTTTGATTTATGACATTTTGGGGTTCCTGGAAGCTTCACAAACACAGTGGTGGTGGGGTGTGTGCAGAGCCCAGGTGATCTCTTACATCTTTATGTCCCCAGTGCGTGTGGCTTGTACTCAGCCTGGAAAATGTTTGTTGGGTGGGTGAATGGTGCGTTTGGGCTTTAGAGCCCCACAGAAGAGTCTTCCAGCATCAAGAATTTCCACAGAGATCTAAAGAAAGTCAATAAAACGGGAGTGGTTTTCCAGGAGCAAGGTCTTACTCAGGCCTGGGACGAAGGTGGGTGGGGCTGGCCCCTCGCCTCGAGTCCAGGTCCAGGGTGGAGGCTGACCACAGATGAAGGTGGACAGTCCCTATACAGCCTGGGGGCACCTTGGCCACCCCAGCCTGGTGAGAGCCCAGCTGAGGGGTGTGCAGCAGTTACAGCCACCGCCCACCTGCCACCTGGTTTTGTACGGTTTTTAAATGGTTGAAACATAATTTTGTAACATGAAATTAAAACTTCAATGTCCATGAAACCTTTGTTGACACAATGTGCCCATTTACTTAGATGTTGTCTCTGGCTGTGTTTGTGCAATGACAGCTGACAATCCTTAACGACCTGAAAAGCTAAACTACTCTGGCCCTTCAGAGAAAAGTTCACCAACCCCCGAGTTGAGGACGTAGGTGAGCAGCACCCCCGCTGGCCTGCCAGTCTGTGTGTGCCCCATGGCTGGAGAGATACCCTCCAGTTGGATGTTGTCTGTTGCCCCTGCTCCCACGGTCAGGCCAGAGCCGTGGGTGCAGCCTTCACCCTCTCCGTCCAGCCCTGCCTCGGGAGCCAGCAGTCCCAGGCACATCCTGCTCCCTACTCTCTGTGTCTCACCAGCTGTACTGGATGTCTTGTCACTGGCCTCCTTGTCCCTCAAGACAAAAGCACAGGGGCTCGAACACAAGGACAACCCAGAATTTGCAACATCAGACGTCAGGAACTCAGCCAAGTTCCCCTTACAAGTCTGTGCTCCCCTCTCCTGGCCGCAAGGGCTCTGCTGAGCAGTTGGCAGGGCCACCAAGTCCAGTCTCCCAAGATGGAGAATGATGGAGAGTGGTGTTCTGACCCTGCAGTTCCTGACCAGTGTCCTGAAAAGCCCAGACAGGGCCTCTGGGGGCAGAGGGGGAGCGGGGGAGCAACCATCCCGCCCTGACCCCTACTCACAGCAAGGGGCCTCCCAGAGTCTGCTGACCATCATCAGACCTCCCTCCAGGGGCGCGAGGAGCGGACTAGCAGGGAGGACACACCAACGTAGCGGTGGAGACGGACAGCCAGAAGCTCTGGCAAGGCGCAGGAGGACAAGGGGTCTTTGTGGCCTGGTGGGCAGGAGGGCGTGCAAACCTGGTGCTGACAGTCTGAACCTCAGCCAGCCCATCTAGAACCAGAAAAGCGCCCCCGCCTCCGAGGACAGCCGAGAGGGCGAGGGGGCGTCCAAGCGGCAGCTCTGGCCTCCTCCCAGGGGTCCCTGGGGGAGGGGTCTGTGCATGTCTCACGGATGCCAGCACCAGGGCCGCCTGGGAGGTGCTGCTCCACTGCTGCCGGGCGCGGCTTGGCACCGCAGAGTCTCAGGCGTTCGCTGGACTCATCCTGCGCAACAGAAGCCCCCAGCGTATGGCTTTCAACCCTGAACGTGTGTCCTTGGGCCAGCAGCTGCTCAGGGTATATGAGGCCGCGTCGAGAGCCTCTGGAAGCCTCCAGGGACACTCACTGCCTCTCCTGCCACTCTCCGGGTTCACACGCCCACCAAGTCAGCAGATGCAGGCCAGGTGGGGAGGGAAGGCTCACGAACAGAACGCCTGCCCCCCACATCAGCTGTGTGACGCTGGGCAAGACGCAAACCTCTGCGCTTCCTCACCTGCGAAGTGGGGAGATCTGACGCGCTAACACGTGCGGGGCTTAGACCTGCACCTGTAAACTTCTCTGCTCTCGGCTGCGTTGATAGGATCTGGCCTGCAGGGGGTGCCCGAGGACGTACTTTGGGTCAGTTTAGGAATAAGATCAAGGGCTTTAAAATACTCATTTTTTTGCCTTTTAAACGCTATGCTAAGTGAAAGAAACCAACACAAAAGGCTACACCTTGTATGATTCAATGTAAAAAATGTTCACATTCTGCCTCCTCTGTTCCTACCTCCAGTTTCAATATATAAAATCCTTTTACCATTAACATCATTCCGATTTTTTAATGGCAAAAAAAGGGGGGAGGGGGCAGAAGCTGCTATGGACTGAATGTTCGTGTGCCCCCCTCACCGCCCCCGAGTTCATGTGTTGAAACTAACTCCCAACGTGACTGTGTTAGGAGGCTGAGCCTCTGGGAGCTGCTTAGGTCATGAGGGTTGCCGTCGCCTGGTAAGAGGCCCCACAGAGCTCCCTCACCCCTTCCTCCATGAGGGGACACAGCGGGAAGTCTGCAGCCAGGAAGAGGCCCGACCTGCTGGGCCCCTGATCTGGGATGTCCGGCCTCACAGTGAGAAGTAATCGTCTGCTGTTCTACAGGCTCCCCAGTCTGCAGTGTTTTGTTTGTTAAGCCCAAGAGAAACACCCACCAAGGACGCATGTTTTGCAGCCATTAGACACAACCGACCGTCGTGTTCAGGAAGAGGTGAAGAAAGAGCTGTTAACACACAGACGCGGCCTAAGTATGCCATCTGGTCAAGGTGGTTCCATGGATGTCTATGGGCAAAGGGGCTTTTCAATACTTTTTTAAAAAGTTTGTTTGTTTTTACTTTTTGGGTTTTTCCAAATGTATCATGAGTACATATTCCCTAAACATGCCTACAGGTCGAGGAAGAACTACACACCCAGAAAGCCCCCGTCACTGCTTGGGGCAGACGTGGTGCTCAGCTCACCTGTACACGCCCTCTGGGGGCAGCAGCTGCTGGCACCGCCCAGCCCTGCTCCTGTCCTCAGGGCAGATGGGCCCAAGGACACCAGCTGACACTGAAGGAGACACAGGGGGGTCTGCACCCCTTGGCTGAGCCCACTGAGGGTTCTACCTGGGGCCTGACCTCCACAACCCCCGCTCCAAGTGGGCGACAGTCCCCACCCCCCAACCAGGTCCTCAGCCTCCTCCTCCCAGGCTCTCAGCCCATACCTAACTTTCCATGAGACTATGGGCGAGTTCGGTAAAGAGCCCCAAGCAAACACTGCTGCCCTTGACAGTCCTGGCACAAAGCAGGGGCAGGAGAGGGCAATGCAGACGGGAGGGGGTTCCAACACAGATGTGGCCAGATGCCAGGCGGGCACCCAGCTCATGAGCTTTTTTCAGAAGTTCCTGCCTGCCACTTGGGCCTACTAATCCTACCAGATTTGTGATCTGGTTTCTCGGCAAAACAGACCACATAGGCAGGAATACTACCAGAGCAAAGACAGCCCAACAGCAAACAGCTGGCTAGAGACTAGAACCGCTCCCCCCAAGGCCTCTACGCAGGGTGTGGTTATGCTGGAGCATGGGGACCCTGGAGGCCTCAGGAGAGGCAAGTGCTACTGTCTCCCCACAGACTCCAACTGCTGCGGACTGAGCTGTCCCCAGCCCTCTCATGTTGAAGCCCTGGTCTGCAGTGTGACTGTATTTAAAGACGGGCCCTGGAGGGAGATGATTAAAGTTAGATAAGGATGTAAGGGTGGGGCCCTGAGCCGACAGAATGGGTGCCCTCTCCCTGCCACACGTGAGCGCAGACACACATGCGCAGGCACTGAGGCATGTCTGCAGGCCAGGAGAGAGGCCTCACCAGGACGTGACTGTGCTGGCACCCTGATCTCAGACATCCAGCCTCCAGAACCATGAGGAAGTAGATTTCTGTGTTTACGCCACTCAGACTATGGTATTTTGTTACAGCAGTTGGAGCTGCCTGAGACTCCACCCTAGAGGCACCCATGAGAGGCCCCCTCTCCCCTCACTGCTGCTACTGCCAGCTGCACACTGGCAACAGCCTCTCCCTGACTCCCAGTCCCTGCCCTGGTGCCCTACACCCTGCTATCAACACAACATCCAGTATGATCCTTTAAAAACAATTGTCACATCACATTCATTTCTCAGAATTGAGCCACAGTTCCCACAGAGGCCCTGGAGGCCTGCCCTGTGCCCTGCCCTCCCCTCCTCACTGCTGGGGCACTGCAGGTGTTCCCTCGGCCTAGCCCCCGCTCCTCAGGACCTCTGCTCCCTCACCTCCTTCAGGTCTTTGCTCAGACACCACATCCTAAAGGAGGCCCACCCCACAACCCATCTTAAAATGACAGACCATATCCCAAGTTCTTGGACTAGAAGAATTAATATTGTTAAAATGGCCATACTGCCTAAAGCAATCTACAGATCTAATGCAATCCCTATCAAATTACCCAGGACATTTTTCACAGGGTTAGAACAAATAATCCTAAAATTTATATGGAACCATAGAAGACCCAGAACTGCCAAAGCATTACTGAAGAAAAAGAATGAAGCTGGAAGAATAACCCTCCCAGACTTCAGACAATACTACAGAGCTACAGTAATCAAAACAGCATGATATTGGTCCAAAAAGAGCCATATAGATCAATGGAGCAGAGTAGAGAGCCCAGAAATAAACCCACAAACTTTTGGTCAATTAATCTTTGACAAAGGAGGCAAGCATATACAATAGAAAAGAGACAGTCTGTTCAGCAAATGGTGTTGGGAAACTGGACAGCTGCATGTAAATCGAAGTTAGAACACTCCCTCACACCACACACAAAAAAAACCTCAAAATGGCTTAAAGACTTAAACATAAGACAAGACACTATAAACCTCTTAGAAGAAAACAAAAGCAAAACATTCTCCAACATAAATCTTAGCAATGTTCTCCTAGGGCAGTCTACCCAACCAATAGAAATAAAAGCAAAAATAAACAAATGGGGCCTAATTAAACTTACAAGCTTTTGCACAGCAAAGGAAACCATAAGCAAAGCAAAAAGACAACCTACGGAATGGGAGAAAATATTTGCAAAAGATGAGACTGACAAGGGCTTAATTTCCAGAATATATAAACAGCTCATACAACTCTTAATAATAAAAAAACAACAATCCAATCCAAAAGTGGGCAGAAAACCCAAACAAGCAATTCTCCAATGAAGACATACAAATGGCCAATAGGCACATTAAAAACTGCTCATCATCACTAAATATCAGAGAAATGCAAATCAAAACTACAATGAGGTATTACCTCCTACTAGTCAGAATGGCCAGCATTCAAAAGTCCACAAATGATAAATAATGGGGAGGGTGTGAAGAAAAGGGAACCCTCCTACACTGTTGGTGGGAATGTAGTTTGGTGCAGCCATTATGGAAAACAGTACGGAGATTCCTCAAAAGACTAAAAATAGACTTACCATATGATCCAGCAGTCCCACTCCTGGGCATACATACAGAGGGAGACTTAATTCAAAAAGATAGATGCACCCCAATGTTCTTAGCAGCACTGTTTACAATAGCAAAGACACAGAAGCAACCTAAATGTCTATCAACAGATGACTGGATAAAGAAGTTGTGTGTGTGTGTGTGTGTGTGTGTGTGTGTGTGTGTGTGTGTATGAAATGGAAAACTACTCAGCCATAAAAAGAATAAAATGTCATTTGCAGCAACATGGATGGACCTGGAGATCATCATTCTAAGTGAAGTAAGCCAGAGAAAGAAAAATACCATATGATATCACTCATATGTGGAATCTAAACAAACAAACAAAAAGACAAACAAACTTATTCACAAAACAGAAAGACTCACAGACACAGAAAACAAATTTACGGTTACCAGGGGGGAAAGAGGGTAGGAAGGGATAAATTGGGAGTTCGAGAGGTGCAGATACTAGCACACATAAAATACATAAACAACAAGTTTATACTGTATAGCGCAGATAATCATATTCATTATCTTACAGTAACTTATAGTGAAAAAGGATATGAAAACGAATATATGTATGTTCACGTATGAGTGAAGCATTGTGCTGTATGCTAGAAACTGACACAACACTGTAAACAGTCTATACTTCAATAAAAATATATGTAAAACAAAACAAAACAACAGCCCAGCCCTCCCACAGCCCTGCCTCCCATCTAGGGAGGCTACTCATCTCCGCGTCCCTCGTCACCCTCTAACAAGCATGCCAGCTGTTTTTTATTATGCATTATTATAATGTTCCCCCTCCCCACTAGAATGTTGGCTTCTTAAGGAGGAGGGTTTCAGACAGGGATTTCAGACAGAGGGTGAAATGTCCACTGAAACACACAGTTCACAAAAGCAAATGAGCAAGAGCTAAGATGCTACATGGGGCCAGGCAACCTCTGTGTCCTTACAAAGGCTTTGGCTTGGACCCCAGACTGAGGCCAGAGCACAAGACCCGGCCACATTGGAGTAGTGGGTGCCCTTACCCAGCAAGAGGACCAACTGACAGCAGGAGAGGGTGCCTGCAGTTCAACACCTAACCAGTAAGACATGTTTTTTTTATAGTTACTTTACTTCCAAAAAAGGCGGAGAGACATAGCTGCCTTCACTTAGAGAATGCCACTCAAACACTCTCCCTGGAGTGTCTCCTAGGAAGGGTGGGCTTTGCTCCGGAGACACCTGTCAGCCAGCTGTCCCGGGGTGGCTGGAAAGGGGCTGGCCAGCAGTCAGTCCTGCAGTCTGCGCTCGCACCTCTTCTCTAGGTCGGCCATCTCCTTCAGGACAAGGGCAACGCCAAACCGCAACTCCTGGAACTTGGCTGTGGGGACCTCGAAGCGGTGCGCCGACCCATCCGAGAGCTCTAGCTGCATCAGGACGCTGGGCTGCAGGGAGCGGGCCAGGGCGCTGGTGGAGATCGCCACGTCCACCCTCCACCGGAAGTCAGCAACGTGGGGCAACCAGGCCCCCTGCCTCCTGGCCACAGAGTCAAGGAGAGGCCGTTGGCTCCCAAACACCACACTGGCCAAGTCCACAGCCAGGTCTTGCGGGATGCAGAGCTCCTGGAGCTGCTTCTTGAAGGCTTCGGGCTTCAGGCTGGCTGGGGGCAGCCGGAGGGCCTGCTGGACCAGAGTGTGTGTGCCAGCGATCAGCGCTCCCAGCAGCTCCTCGGATAGTTCTGCACCAGCCCCCAGGCGCCACATAGCCTCGCGGCAGTCTTCTCCCTGCAGGCTGCTAACCACCAGCTTCAGCAACTTTCTGAATGTGCCCCTGTCCAGGTCCCCCAGGAGTCGGGGCATTGCTGCCACCTCTGGGGGCAGCTGAGCCCCCAGGAAATTCACCCGGCCACTGTGACTGTCACCAGGGTGATGCGGGTATGGAGCCGCAGGACCCACCGCAGACATTCTGCTTCCTGCTGTTTAATCAGTCAGCCCAGGCTGGAGGTGTCTGCTGCAACTGTCTGAAGAGGGATGAGAGAGAAGCCCAGTAACTCCCGTGTCCTTTGGGCCAGGGAATAAGGACCGACGTGGTCTCCACCTCCCAGATGCTGACAGTGTAAACCACTGATGACAGCCAGTGTGACGTGAGGTGCCCTGGAAGCAGGCGGCAGAGGGGCCCTGGAAGGGCAGTAGGCAGGAATCCGCATGGAAGGAGGATGAGGTGTGGAGGAGAGAAGGAAGAGGACCAGGAAACAGGAGAGCATGCATGAGTTCTCCGAGTAAATCATGGAAGAATGAAGAAGAAAGGTCCAGAGAACACAAGGTCAGAACAGCCACTGCTGCTGCCTTGACCACTCCCAGATCACTCAACTACTCCACCTCCAACCCTCACAGGCTCTGCAAGAGCCAGATACTGTTCTCACCCTACCAACAAGGAAGTCGAGGTCAAAGCCACTGCCCACGTCAAGGACTGGAACCCAGACCTATCTACACAGAAGCACGGGGGAACCAGACAGCGCCTCCCAGACAGCAGGGGCTGAGGGCCCTGTGGCAACAGAGCTAGGAGCAGGATCTGAGGGAAGAGCTGCGATGTCACCTGAAGGAGCTGCACAACACCCCAGCACGTCTCAGGCGATCCTCACACACCTGCTTACGCGGGAGCGCACCGCCCTGTCCCAAGGCGCCCCCTGGCCCACGGTCCTCACAGCGCGGTGGGACGGGGCACGGTGGAACGCTCCACCGCTTCATCGCAGCACACTCTCCCGGGAAGGCCGGGCCCCTCGCCTGGCTGTCAGCGACCACCCACTGCCAGAACTCGGGAGTTTTCCCTCAGGGCCTGGCTAGGATCAGGGCAGCAGCCTTCCACTGCCTGGCCGCCTGACGCCCGGCCTCTGCCCCGCCCCGGAGGCCAGCATGAGGCCTCCCGGACGGGGAGGAAGGAGCGCCCCGAGGCGGCCACCCAAGCACGCCCGAGCCTCCGCGCCCCGGCCGCGGTCAGTGCCCACCGGCCACCAGCTCTCGCGGACAGGCCTCCTGACTCCAGAGCGTCCGGCGGCCACGCGACCAGTCCAGGTCCGCCGCGCGGCCCGCGACGGCGACCCACCCCCGCGCCCAGGTAGCCGCCCACGCACCTGGCACGCGGTCCCGAGCGGAGAGCGGTGGCGCGCGCGGCCTGGTCCCGGAGGCGACCCGGAACCACTTCCGGGCACCTCTGGACGGCGGGAGGAGCCGCCTTCTGCCACCCGCGGCCCGAGGGGCGGGGCCTAAGCCTCCGGGTTGTTCTTAAGGCGGGGGGAGCTGGGGAGGGGGGACCTCATTTCCCGTCACCCTCCGCGAGGGGGACTGGCGCCCGGCGTGAACCCACCAAGCGCTGATCTCCGCCGGGCCGGGGGCGGGGCGGG